GGAAAACTGGCTTTACACATGCCAAACACTAAAGTGAGACCCATGTCTGTCACCATGCACTAAACTGAAATCAAAATGGATCAAAGATCTAAACGTTAAAACAGAAACACTAACTCTGCTGGAAGAGAGAATAGTTACAACTCTTAAAGACACAGATGTAGGCAAAGACTTTATGAACAAAACTCCAATCACACAGGAAATAATACAAAGAATCAACAACTAGTTTCTTATCTTATTAAAAAGCTTTTGCAACACAAAAGAAATCACCAACAGAGTAAAGAGACAACCCACTAAGTGGGAAAAAAATTGGAGCCAGTTTTTCCTCAGACAAAAGACTAGCATCTAGAATATATAAAGAACTAAAGAAAATCAAACCTTCCAAATTCAAAGACCCAATCCAAAAATGGGCATTGAAATGAATAGACACTTCCCGGATGAAGAAGTAGAAGTGGCAAATAAATACATGGAAAAATATTCAACATCACTGGTCATTCCAGAGGTACAAATTAAAATAATGCTGAGATTCCATCTCACCCCAGAAAGAATGGCTGTTGTCAAGAAATCAACCAGTAACAAATACTTGCTGGGCTGTGGGGCAAAAGGAACCCTTCTCCACTGCTGGTGGGAGTGGAGACTGGTGCAACCACTGTGGAAATCAGTGTGGAGATTCCTCACAAAACCTTACATGTTTTCTTAAGCACTAGAGTTTTCTCCTTAAGAATTTTCTCAGTGACGGCCATCTTAGTAACATTTTTACCTTGTGTATTAGCTTTCCTGTTGCTGGACACAGTGCCTGACACTCATAACTTAAAGGAGGAAAGGTTAAATTTAGCTCACAGCTTGGGGAGATTCAGTCCATAGTCACCTTGCTCCAAGGCAAGAACATCATGGTGGAAGGGTATGGTGGAGCAAAGCTGCTTAATTCATGACCATCAGGGAGCAGAGCAGGACAGCAGCACCAGAGATGTGCAGGAGGGAGATCACATATAGTACCCAACCAGACATACCCTGGAGCATGCTCTACTAAGGTGCTAGATGTCTCTCAATCCAATAAACTCATATGTCAGGATTAATGCTCACACCCTACAAGAACAGAGAGGCACCATCCCCAATCTAACCTCTACGAAAAGAGAGAAACATGAGACACAGAGGAAGCAGACAGTCAAAAAGGCATCAGAGGAATACAGAGAAGACCAAAGACACAAGTTTTTAGCCACAACTTGCTAAAGGACTGGAGGTCAACATCAGAACCTGACAATATATCTGATTGCCATTTACATATACATACTCATATTTAAAATAACAATCATAAACTGATTATAATTTTATTCTATAGAGAACAGGAAATTCTCAAAGGATGTTTTTGTTGTCATTATAGAACTTCTGTTTAAAATTTTACGTTAGTCAACTTTCTGTCACTGTGACAAATTGAGATAAACAACTTAAGAAGGAAAAATTCTTCTTGGCTCATAGTTGCAGAAGTTTCAGTCCATAGTCACTTAGCCCCATAGCTTTGGAGCCTGTGTTAAGACAGCACATCATGGCACAGGACATGGTAGAGGAAATCTGCTCACCTTGTGGCAGCCAGGAAGCAAAAAAAGAGAGAGAAGGGACCAGGGGTCCAAACACCTCCTTCCACTGCACACTGCTAATGACCTAACCTCCTCCCACAAGGCCCTGCCTCCTACTAGCACTAAAGGCTGGAGACTCATGGCCCTGCTGGGGCCTAGACATTTGTACTTAAGATCCAAATCATAAAGGATCTGAAGACATCATTATGGATTGATTTCTGAATCAAATGGGTCATAACTAGTGATTTTAGTCAAATCCTGGTTTTCATGACACAGAACAAATAAGGAAAAATCTTTAGCAAAAACTGCTTATTCTTTTGTCCTACATGGGCATTCTATGTGTCATATAAAATGCCATCTGTCATATAAAAAGTAACATTTTGTTAAAAAAACTTTTTAAAAATCATAGTGTCAATGGAATATTATTCAGCTATAAAAAAGAATGAAATTCTCTTTTGCAGCAACATGGATGGAACTGGACAACATCATGTTAAGCAAAATAAGTCAGGCACACACCAGGGATTTAGCTCAGTGGTGCCTCTGCTTGCCTTCCAAGTGCAAGGTCCCTAGTTCGATCCCCAGTACCAAAAAATAAAATAAAATAAAATAAGTCAGGCACAGAAAAACAAATATTACATGTTCTCACCTGTGTGCTGAAGCTAAAATGTTGGTCTTATAGAAGTAGAGAGTAGAACAGTGGTTACCTTGGAAATAGGAGAGGAGGAAGAGAGAGCAAGGATAATAGATACAGAGGTGCAGTCACATACAAGGAACAGCCCATAGTATTCTATACGACAGGACAGTAACTAGGGGTGATGTCATTTAATTGTAAATTTCAAAAATAGCTAGTAGAAGAGGATTTTGAATTTTCCACCACAAAGTGATGTTGGAGGTGATGGATATACCAATAACCCTTAACTGATCATAATACATCATGTACATGAATTGAAATGTCACACTGCACCCCGTATAATATATATTCTGTGACCCAAAGCAGAGATCCTCAAACTGTGACCTCCCTCAACTTCAGAAATAGAGTTCCCAAGTCGGCCCAGACCTACTGGATCAGAAACACTAGGACAGGGAAAGCCATCATGCATTCTGTGTTCACAAGCCCCCGGTCACAACTAGGAAGTCATCTCCCCAGATCGCAATGGGAGAACCCCTGCTGGAGCCAGCGTGGCTGAACTTACTTACAGACTGGTGCACATAAGAGAAATCAGTGTGGACTTGTCCCTTCCCCCAAACTACCACTCCCTAATATTGCCCAAGAAATCCAAATTATCTGGCAATTAATTAAATGTATTCATTTATCTTCGTTGGTAACTAAATTCCATCTACTGACAAAAAAAGTCTTTAAGGTGACTTTAATTTCTATTTACCATTACCAGAAATAGTCAATTGACCTAGTGAGCTAGGAGAGATGGGGTTCCGCCAGAGAAGTGGTGCTCTCTGCTGCTGCTAGACTCTGCTGGCCTGGGCAGGTCTCTGGTTCTCTTAAACAAAACAGGAGCTGGGGTGAGGTGGGGTATCAGAAGTGAGAGACTGTGTTGTCCCCAACCAGGACAGCAGAGGTCCAGGGGAGAAAGAGAAAACCATCTTGGCTTCCAAAAGACAGTGGGACGTGACATTAATGATCTCACCAATGACTAGCTCTAATGGGGAGGCCTTGCCTTCTGACCCTGTCACCTCCTTCCGCCAAGCCAAACCCAGAAATAGCTCAGGGCTTCCTTCTCAGGGCTTCTCCCCCCACCCCGCCTCCAGAGACTGCAGCTGCTGTTTCCAAAGCAAGACCTTGTCCTGCAGCCAGCCCACAATTCACTGCTGAAATCCCAAAGCCAACAGCGGACCCAAAGCCTGGGCACAGTCAAATGCTAGCAGGGCAGAAGCCTCATTCCAGGTCCCAGATGTCCTTCTGCACCCCGCGAAGTGCCAAATGCTGTTGTTGGCCCCAGCAGAGTCCTTGGCTCACAGCACACAGCAGGAGCTGTCGGGGATGTGAGGCTGCAGACACAAAAGACACGGTGGCCTTGGTTTATCGTTCGTAGGAGCAGCGGCTCTTGGAGGCTGTTGTGAGGAGCCTGGGGCCTAAGTTCATATGTCCTTCAGTGACCCTGTCCCCACGAAAGCAGAAAGTCAAAAGCCAGCCTGCCCCAGACCCAGACCAGCCTCACCCTGACTCCAAATGCCGGGAGTCCTCGGAACTGTATTCAAATACAGCCGGTCACTGCCTTTGGCTTCTCACGGTGGGTGCCCAGGAGCCTGTGATTTGAGAAGTGAAACTGGACACATCACTGCCTTCATGCGGGGAGAGGAAGGGCTTGTGAGCCTTATTACTGTGCCTGCTGTTTCTCAGTTGGTCACATGCAGACCCTCACTATGACCAGGTTCTTGACTGCCCTCCTTGTCTGGACCCTGATGGCTCCTGGCAGCGGTGGCCGGGGCAGAGGCACAGCGTGGCCCACACACACAGCCTGCAGGAACGAGGGCTTGGAAGTGCTCTACCAGAGCTGCGGTAAGGGCTGCCCAGGGGCCCCTGTGCTTGTGGGGAAACGAAGGCCAGCAGACAGGGCTGCCTGAGTCATTAGTATAGAAGGAGAGAGGGGAAAGGGGACAAGTGACAAGCACTTGGTCCACCTGCAGTTACTCTGAGAGGAACACTGGGGCCCCTGGGAGGAAAAACTGGAGGCCTAGGACAGCCTCATGAGAGAGCAACAAAGAGGGAAAGAAAGCAACATCAGGAGTCTAAATATAGCCATTCACAGATAATGTCGCCATGCCCGGAAAAACCAAACTGATCAAGGCGTCTTCTAAATGATGACAATTAGGAAAAGATGCCTCCTACAGACCTTTTGCCCAAAACCATACACCTGGGCTAGCTTTCCAGGCTATTTAGTTTGCAAGTTGGGTGAAAAAATCACTTTTGTGCAAAGATTCCCATCCTTCTATGCCACTGTCCGAGCTCCTGTGGTGTCAGCATCTCCCGTTCATTTGCAAGCACCCCGGAGAAGGTGTCAGTGCAGGGGTTTTCTCTAGCACCAAAGATGACAGATGTGAGGGTTGTGATTTAAATGTGTCCCCCAAAAAGCATGTGTTGGAGGTGTAAGCCCAATGGGACAGACCTGTTGGAAGGTAGGAAACCCTGTGGGGTGACCAGAATAAGAGGGCTCTGGCCTCAGAAGTAAATTAGTGTCGTTACACAGGAATCCAAAGCTGGCTCATGAAAAGGCTTGGCACCCTGAAATGTGACAATTTGGAGGGCAAAATGCTGGGGGCCTGACAGGGTGGAGAGAAAATGCCATTGAGCACCCAGGCTGCCCACTCTAAGCTGGGGAGTAATGGAGAGCGGACGCCGGAGCTCACAGCTGGCTTCAGTGATTGCCAGGCAGACACTGGCCCGGGGGTCCAGGGGTCAGTCTGGCTGCCAGGGCCACTTGCAGGACTTGTTCCCCTCCATTAGAAAGAAGGAACCTTGAAGTGCATAAAACATAAACAGCAAGCGGAAGAATGAGAGGCTGGGTGGCGGAAGTGCTAATTCTGTCACTCTTGGCTGTGCCACAGGGACAGGACACAGGGTGCTGGCATCCCATTCAAGTTAGGCATGAGACAATAACAAGACCTGAGATGCCCAACTGGTCAGTAGTTGTCTTTCCAATTCATCCTTGTATAAAAAGTAGTTGCCTCTAGTGTGTCACCCAGACTCAACCTCAGACCCCAGCAGAGCCTGGCATGTCCTTCTGACTCACTGGCAGCAGAGCCTGAAGACAGGACACTGGGAGAGACCAAGGACAGATCCCCCATCCACTGGGGCTGGTGCCTCCCTCTGGAGGTGGAGCCACTCTATACAGATACTAAACCTCAGAGGCCAACCATGCTCCAGGCAGCAGAAATAAGAAATGGAAGAGACATAGTTCTCTCCCAAGGGTGGTGGGAATGTCAGCCATGAAACAGATAAAGACTGTTACGGAGGGAGGCACATGTACCGGGGGACACAGTGGTTGGACAACTGTGAGATTGGTGTCTAAATCTCTCAGGGAAGAAATCATTAAATTGAAGCTTAAAGAACGATAAAAATGGGAATGACAACATCCCATGCTCATGGAGCATTTGCTTGTGTGTGCCAGGCACCGCGCTACATGCTCAGCATGCACTGCTCTTACTTTACAGATGTGTAAACTGAGGGTTAGAGATGTTTGGTAACTTTCTCCAGACCACACAGCTAACAGTGGTGGAACCACATCCCAAGCGGTTTGGAGAAGGGAGGCATTGAGCATATATTTGTGGAATTAAACTGATGCCAGGCCTGCCTGACTCCAGAACCCATGCTCTGATGTCCCTGCTCTCTAGAGCTCTGTCACAAGGCCACACAGGGCAGAGGAAGGAAGGGTGAGGCGAGCAGAGCTTTGGCAGAGGAAACAGCATGTCTGAAGGGTAGGGGCCAGAGACACGACCAGGCTTAGAGCTCAGGGCACTCGGGAAGGGCTGCTTGTGCCAAGGGCTGAGAAATGAAGTGGGAACTGTGGGCAGGGATTTGACTCTCTCTGGCACTGGAAGCGCTGCATTTCAGAAAGCCCCTTCCCATAACCAATTGGGTCGTGGATGTTGGAATAGAAGCTGTTCATGGCTGGAAATAGAGTTTGTAGCCAGGAAAAATGTCACTTCAGGAAAGAAACCATGAGAGCCCGTGCTAGCAGCATTTCAACAGCCTTAAAATCTGGGAGAATCTTTGGTATATGTGGGAGGCTCCAGAAAGGCAGGGAGGGTCCTAAAAACTTCGGCAGGGTGGACCCTGCCCTATCTCCTGAAAGCCATCCAGCCATCGGGGACCAAATGGCTGCATGGGGATGAGATGTGCCCCCTGTGGCCACTGGGCTCTCAGGGGGACGCTGATTCCATAGTGCAGAGGATGCCTGCTGTGACACTGTCCAGCCTGGTGTTCCAACACCCTTCATCATCAGGGCTTCTAGGGTCCTGCTATGCACCCAGACCAGGCAGGGCCATCTCACAAAATAAAGGACCTACTGCTTCCTGGGGTGTGGGCTTCTTCTGTGGCTGCTCTTATTTTGTAATTCCAGTGTGGTGGAGAAGGAGACCTTAGGGTAGAAACTGTTCTGAATAATACAACAGTCCTGGAGGAGAAAGGAGGAACTTCATTAGCAGTTTCTGGGCTCTCCAAACTGACCAGGAAGTGAGCAAAGTTTTTGAAAAAGCAGAAGTCCTGCCTCATCTAACTGTCAGTGCTGCAGAAGGGAGCCATAGTCTTTATCAAAGTACAAGGTGGAAAAAGTATTCAGGCACCTTCAGTTTATTAAATCTTAAGATAATACAAAAAGCCCAGGAACATGCCACTGAGGCTCACCAATATATTTGTTAATAAGCTATTTTGAGACACAAAGATATAAAGTAGATTACAGAAACAGAGACAGAGTAAGGGAAGGTGTAATAGACTGTGTTTGTGTCCACCTCAAATTCACATTCTAGCCTCACCTTCAGTGTGATGGAGATGAGTAGGTCACATGGGTGGGGCCTGCAGGGATGGGATTAGCGCCCTTATGAAAGGGGCCCCAGAGAGCTCACATCAAGAACACAACCCCATGGCACCCCGATCTCAGCCTTCTGGCCTCCAGAACTATTAGAAATGCATGTTTGTTGTTTAAGCCACTGAGTCTATCTATGACAATTGTTACTGTGTCTTGAACTGAGTCAGGAGAATGAAAAGCAGGGAGGTCAGGACCATGTAACAAATGAGGCAACATGACGGATAAGAGCTCAGGGTTTGAAGTCAGCCAGCCTCACGCAAACTCTTGGGCAATCAATACTCGCTAGATGTGTTAGGCTTGTTTATAAGGTGAGTGTATTAGCTTCCTCTTGTTGCTATAACAAGTTTCCACTTGGAGCCTTAATGTACATTTATCCTCTCAGAGCCCTAGGGGTCAGAAGCTTGAGATCAGTTTGTTTCAGTGGTTAAGTTGTTAGTCGAGCCTCGCTTCCTCAATAGTTCTAAGGGAGAATCCATTTATTTCTCTTTTCTGCCGTGTATACTTGCATTCCCAGGTGCCTGGCCTCTTCCTTTGTCCTCAAAGCTAGCTGCTTAGCATTGTGCTTCAGGTATCACATTGCCTTCTTGTTCTGTGTCCAATCTCTCCTCCTACAAGGATACTTGTGATTAAGGTGATCTCCCCAACTCAAGACCCATAGTAAGGTATGGAAAGTCCCTCTGGCCATGTAAGGAAACATTCACAGATTCCCGGGACCAGGACACAGGTCTCTTTGGGGACTGTTATGAGCTTACTACAGCAGGGACAATATTTTATCTACCTCACATGGCTGTGTGAAGATTAAATGAAAAGCACTGTATGAAAAGTGCTTAGCACATACTATGTGTTCAATAAATATTTGCTGCTAATGAATTGATAAGGTATTTTATAGTTGCCTATGATCTTGACACCAAATCAAATAAAAGGGGAAATGACATTGTTTTCAAGATAAAACCAGTTACAGGACATTTTCAGCTTTTCCTAACACTGAGACAAATGACAAAAGAAATTTATCCCCAGAGAGGATAAATCCCAGACACCATCTCTAAAAAACTGCAAGTGACTCACATCCACAGTGTCTCGTGGAGCTACTTGGTGTTTACAAGGGCTCGGAGTCTGGACAGATTCCACAAAGGGTGACCATAGAACCTTCATGAATCCAGCATTCAGAATTCTGATGCATTCAAGGGAGAAAGTTAGATTATCTATGGGAATGCGTGGGCCTTATGCTCTTTGAGAAATTCTCTATAACAATTGTTATTGCTACTATTGTGCTTTCCATTTATGATGTTTTGATAAGAGTTGAATGGCAGAAATCTTGGTTGTATTTTCCAGCAAGAGCCTCAAGTGTAGACCTTAATCTTACCATTTCACATGCTTTGACATCAACCAGGCAGAGAAAAGAGTCAAATAGTAACAGACCTGTGACACATCCTAAATGACTCTGTGTATCCTTTTGCTTTCTCTGATACTGATGACAACCTACCATGTAAGTGGTTCATGGTAAAGGTCTAAGACAGGTGCCTGCAAACTGTAGGCCCAATCCCACTTGATGCCTGCTTTTTGCAAGGGCTGTGAACTAAGAATGGTTTCCACATTTTTTAATGATTAAAGAATTCTGCATTTCTTAGTCAGATTTCCATCACTAGAACAAATACCTGAGGTGATTGACTTATGAAAAGAAAAGTTTTATTTGGTTTATAGTGTTAGAGGTTACTGTCCATGATTAGTTGATCTCATTGCCTTTTGAGCCTGTGGCAAGGCTACATGTTACAGCAGGACAGTGTGGCCAGGAAATGGAAAAGTGAAAAAACAAGAGAGCAAGGTCTCACAATCCCTCTGAAGGCAAAGCCCCAATGACCTAACTTCCTCCCCCTAAGCCTCAGCTCTTAAAGTTTTATCACCTTCTCCCAAGAGCAGTAAGCTGGGGACCAAGCTTTTACCACATGGGCCTTTGGGGAACATTTATGATCCAAGC